AAAAAAAATTCAGGAAAATGGTTAAGATTTGTTCTTGGTGTAGGTATTGCTTAGAGACCCTTTTGATGATAATGTACTGCCTATTGTTGAGGAACTTCAAAGACGTTTGCCTCTAGTAAGTGCCAATTTCCAAGGCCAAGGAGAAGATGAAGAAACCTCAGGGGTACAGAAAGATGTTGAAACCGATGAACTCAGTAAATGATGCTCTTCAGAACCTCTCCATTATCGGTTTATGTTACACAACTTTAAAAAGGACAATATTGCTCAGGAAGTTCTAGTTCAAATTTCATGTTCCTACTAGTGCTAGTATGATTCAAGTTTTGTACAAATATTGTATGTTTGCTTGTTGTCTATCTGTTCTTTGACTTAATGTTCTGGTTGTTTGGCTCATGTCATGATTTAGAATTTCCATTTGAATTTCGGGCATTAGAAGTTGCACTAGAAGGTATTTGTAGTTTTCTTGATGCGCGCACAAGAGAACTAGAGACTGATGCTTATCCGGCTCTAGATGAGCTGACTTCCAAGGTAAAGGATTTCCTTAGAGTTTCATTGTTCTTTATCTGCTCAGCTGACTTTGTGTGTTGGATGAATTAAATCCCTGATTGCGTAATCATGGTGTCAAAAGCCTCCTAAATACATTAAACTTCATTTTTCAGCATCCATGATCGAAGGAAAACTAGTTTAGATTATTCTTCTTTGATCAAGCAGTTAGAACTATTTGCAGATTAGCAGTCGGAATTTGGATCGGGTGCGAAAATTGAAGAGTGCAATGACCAGGTTGACAAATCGGGTTCAAAAGGTATGCTAATTATTGATATGATGCTGTAAATGGAGGGTGCCATATGCTAATATGTAACTACATATTCCTCTTATGCTCAGCAGCTCATGGGGCTTCATGTTAACTTGGACTGTTCTGTGCATCTCGAGCCCCCATACAGCATTCATATATGGAGTTATGCTGGGGATTTATTTCATGTCTTAGTTCTTTAATCAATTTCGTTTAAAATGCTGTATTGTTGTTGTTGCCATAAAGGTAGAAAGTTGCTAATATGGACTTATTTCCTGAATTGGAACTACGGATTCTAGGTAAGAGATGAACTCGAACAACTTCTTGATGACGACGATGACATGGCCGACCTTTACTTATCAAGAAAGCTGGTTGGGACTTCACCTCTCAGTGACTCGGGTGCTCCAAATTGGTCTCTCGCCTCACCTACCATAACTATAGGCTCAAGGGTGTCCAAAACAAGCAGGGCAAGTGCAGCAACGACATCCGAGGAGAATGATGTTGAGGAACTTGAGATGTTGCTTGAGGTTATAATTCTTCATAGGTCTTGTACTCTTGTAAATCCGGTACCTGAAGTCTGAGTTGCATCCTGTTATCTTTTGCAGGCTTACTTTATGCAAATTGAAAGCACATTGAATAAATTGACCACGGTATGTACTCTTATTGCTGTTTCAGCATGCTAGGACAACTGATATAAGATAGAACTTATCTGATTCGTTCTTCGCTTACCAGCTCCGTGAATACATCGATGACACAGAGGATTACATTAATATCCAGGTAATGGTTGGAAAAA